AACTTTGAAAAGCAGAAGAGCAAGAAAGAACCTGGCAACCACACTGATACGTTCAGACAGTGAGAGCCCCGACAAAGACTGCCTCGCTTCTTCCGGGCTTTGGTCGTTTCTGTTCCTGTGGCTGTTGTTATTTGTGGGGGGTGGGGGGGGTGAGACAAGTTCTCCCTGTAGTCCCAGCTGGCCTGGAACTTGCTGTGTAGACTAGGCTGGCCTCAATTCGCAGAGATCACAGAGATTAAAAGCATGCACCACCACACCCTGCTGATTTCTGCTGGTCTTAAATAGAGAGCTCTCAGTTGTGCATGGTCTCAACTCTCTCCGAGTTCAGTCCTCAAGCTGCTGGATAGGAGCAGTACTGGGAAGCTTCAGGAGCAAGGTTCCACACTGGATGAGTTTCTTCAAGATCCCGGACCACAAAATTGAGTGCTCATAGTAAATCTCCCCATACCTCAGTCTGTTCAAAAGTTTAGGACTTTCGCTAAAGTAGTGCTGGTCATACACAGACTCAGAAACAAAAATACTCAGAGGAAGGAAGGGCTCCTGGGCCATAGGGAGCAAAGGGATGCAGGCTGCACATTGTTCCAGGACAGCAGGCACCCAAAGGTATGCCCCACAGCATGCTGTGTGAGTCCATGAGCACCAGACTGCCTGAGTTTCCTCTTAGTGATAGAGATGGTGCGACATTAACAACGGGTATATCCTGATGGCTGACTTTTGAAAGGTGACCCGACTTATTCTGAGTTATTTCTTCCTTTGCCATGCATGCAGGTGACCTGAATTTAGCTCCCAGGTATATTTTCGGGGTTTGAGAGATTAGCTAAGCAAAATGGCATGACCACCTATACCCTGCTACAGCAGCTAGTGAGTGGCCAGTCATCCTCGGCAGCCCATGATTCCCAAGACTCGGCAGCATCCACTCCGAGCAGAAACTGGACGCAGGCTCCAAGCAGCGCAGCTATCCTTTCACTGTGCCTACATTTCTCAGAATCGCTCTGAGCTCCCACAGATATGGTCAAAGTTCTTATTTCAAATCTATGCAGTTTCTCATATGTCAATCAATCCTTTCTATCCATCTTTTTCTCCTTCTTCCAGCTCTGATGTGATGTATGTGCATATGCACACACAGAAATATATGTACACACACACCTTCATAAATATGCATGTATAAAAATACATCTTCATGCCTTTGAATAGTCCTGACCTATAATAGACATGCAATTAAAATGTTTGCCAAATGACTAAATGATGAAATGAGTATTTTCTGAATATAAAAAAACTTAAAACTTGCTCATTTATTCTACATATCTAAAGTCAGTCTATGTGTTGCCACATCATCTCTAGAGTCTTATAGTCTCACATTTCTATGGCGGCATACCATTTATTTCTAGGTCACAGTTTTGTTTTGTGATTCTATGGCATTTTATACAAGCAGCTTTCTTAAATGAACATTAAGTAAGGTATTAAACACACAGGCGTTTGCAGACTGCATGAAGTTTGAAAGATCAAGTCTACATATGCCATCAGGAGCCCTCTTGAGTGGGAAGTTCCCTGAGGGAGGGGTGGTTTAGTGGTAGATAAGTAGCAAGAAGCAAATTCAGGGTCCCCAAACATCCAGTGGTGAAGGGACCAGTGTGGCCTGTGGCTTTCCCTCCCTCTCTTCAATGGTTGGGGTTATGCTTACTTTTCACAGAGGTCTTGCACTTGGCTGGGCTTGAAGGCAGGAATAGACTGGGAACAAGGGCTGGTGGGAGCCGACAATGGGCTCTTGATGTTCTGGATTGAGTGCCTACGGCTTCTTCTGCGGTCAAGGCCCTGGTGCTCACCCCCGCTACCACTGGAACACATGCTGGCCCTCCTCCGGTCCCGGTGCCCACTGGGAGGTGGCTCTGCTGTCTCATCACCATCCTCGTGCCTGAGTGCTACCTGAAAAAGTAGAATGCATCAAGGCAAGGTTGAACCCCCTGGCTGTGAATGCATGTCACCACTAAAGTGGATTTTATACTGCCCCCCTGACACACACATTGCAGGCCTCTGGTCCATCTCACAGTGCCCCCAACCATGTATCCAGAATTTCAGCTCAAGTCTGTCAGGTGCCTGTCACTATGCATTCTATGGGTCATATGGATACTGTGGTGGTTTAAGTGAGAATGTCCCCCATAGGCTCCAAGTATTTGTTCCCAACTGGTGGTGCCATTTTGAGAGGTATTAGAAGGAAGCACATCACTGGGGGTGGCTTAGTGAGCTCTTAAGCCTTGCTGGAGCTCCAGTGGCTGCCTGCTTCCTGTGTCTGCTGGAAGATTGAGCACTTAGCGTCTGCTCCTGCTCCAGCCATCTCACCATACCTCTCCACCATGATGGACTCTAATCCCTCTGGAACCTGGAACTGTAAGCTCAAATAAACTCTTCTTCCTATAAGTTCCCTTGGTCACAGCATTTTATCACAGCAACAGAAAAGTAGCTAAGACAGAAGTGAAAGAAATAACTAGGTAAGTCTGCGAAATATTTGCAATTATCTGAAATCTAGTTGTATTGGTCAGCTTTTCATCACTGTGACCTGAGAAAAATCAACTTAAAGGATATTTATTTTGGCTCATGGTGTCATCTATAGTCAGCTGGTTTTAGTGTTTTTAGACCTGTGGCAAGACAGAGACATCACAGTGGAAGACAACAATGGAAAGCCCATCACCCCAAGGTAGCCAGGAAGCAGAGTCCAAGCTGCTCATCCCAAGGGAGCCAGAAAGCAGAGAGAATGAAGCTGGTCACCCCAAGGCAGCCAGGAAGCAGAGAGCCAAGCTGCTCATGAGTTCAAGCTGATCACCCCATAGTAGCCAGGAAGCAGAAAGCTAAGCTGCTCACCCCCAAGGTATCCAGGAAGCAGAGAGAATGAAGCTGGTCACCCCAAGGCAGCCAGGAGGCAGAGAATGCCAAGGAGGAGCCATACCCTTCAAACACATGCCCCCAGCAGCCTACTTCTTCCATCCAGAGACCACCTCCTAGCTTCACCACGTCCTAAGGATGCCATAAAAATAATCACTATCAACAGCTTAAAGCGTCCATTAAGTCAGAGCCACATCACATCTCAACGATGGGACCCATTGGTTGGGGACCAAGTCTTTAACACATGAACCTTTTTGGAAATCTTCATATGCAAATTATACCACCAGCTCACATTCCCATTTGCCTGACCTTCATCTCTCCCTGCCCACTCACTGCTCTTCTATGTTCTAGGAGGCAGGGACCTTCTGATGCTTCCTGGGACCATGCCTGATCATTCTTCAGCTGCCTTTCCAAAAGAGGGTACTAAGAGGAACACAGAATGGGCGAGGGCCACAAGATCCAGGGAAGCAGAGGCTGGCCTCGCCCTCCAGCTTTCTGAGAGGCCTTCTTCAGCAGTATGCATTACATGATTCCAGAAACCTTCCTGACAGCTATGCTCCCAGGCTATCTTCAGCCACAGTCAGTGCCTACTGTGGAGCCTTCATATGCTGCCACAAAGATGTGTGACAGAAATAGTGTTTTTAATACCCTCTACGGCTGGTAGGATGACTCAGGGGATAAAGGCACCTGCCACTGAAACTGATGACCCAAGTTCAAGTCCAGTGAGCCACATAGTGGAAGAAGGGAACCGACTCCCTCAAGTTGTCCCCTGGCCTCCACAGGTGAGCCATGCCACTCATGCACCCATCCAGCCCCACACAAAATAGAAAGCTTTGCTTTGTGGTTTCTTTTGAGAAATAAGTAACTTGTAATATTTTTTAAGGCCTCTTGGAAGCCTCCTCCCTGAAGACTAGTTTCAGAGGATACTATGTAATCTGCTAAGGGAGAAAAGTCAATTGATGGTCCAACTCCAGCTTTAAAGCCTAATGACCACAACAATGAGAGGCACAGTAAACCATCTCTATTGGTGCAGTAGTGGCACTTTAATCTTTGGGACAATCAACATCTGCCTAATTGGACTAAAAGCCCACTCAGTGGGAGGGAACTCATGTGCAGTCTGTAAACACATGGCAGGAGAAACCCTATGTCTGTCACATCCCTAGACAAATGCAATTTCCTACTGTACACTAAATGTGTATTCTTATATTTACAGACAAGTATGCCTGTTACCACTCGTCAAAGAGGCTTCGTTTTGCAACAGATGGAGACTATTACAGTTTCACAACTGATCAAATACAGGGAATAAGATGTGTCTGTGAGATGCCCAGCCCTAAATGACACATCTACAGTGAAACCTAAGGCTCATGAACATAGTGGAAGAGGGGGTAGAGAGAACACTAACGCGTCTCTTAGTTCTTACCAATGAAGCTTCCTCATGCAACAGTCAATTAGCACAAAAGGGCACAAGTGACCAAAATGTGAGTGTCTCTAGACAGGTCTCCCATATTGAACCCTGTGCCCCCAGGGCTCAGAACCATGGCAGAAGAAGGGGCAGAAAGATTGTAAGGGCCAGGGGCAGAGGACGACCCCAGGAGACAGTTTTCCAGGCTTCTGGGAACTTGCTTATGTGAACTCCCAGCAATGGTGACAGTATGCACAGAACAGTGCAAGCTCAACCCAGACGAAAACCCAGTATAGAACCCAGGAAACGGGCCAGAAGCCCCAGCCTTGGCTGAGGGACTACTGGAAGCTGATCACTGCTGGGTGAGGAAGAGTTGTACTTCTCTAAGAGAGTGGCACTAGGTAGGCTGACCAGGACCCCGTGGATGAACTTACACCAACGGACATCTGGGTAATCAAACTTGACTTGACATATATGAGAGAACGCATGCCATGTAGTGGGGGGGAGCTATGGGAGATGCAGCTAGGGGAGGGAGTTAAAATACGATTAAGATGCAGTGTATGAAATGCACAAAAATCCACTATATATATACACACACGCACACACACGCATATGAAAATAAATAAAATGTCCTCTAAAAAAGTGATGTGTGTTTGCACAGAGAAGGTCTGATTGTCATTTTCGTCCCTTTGGGTTTTACAGGAAGCCTGGGCCACATGGCCCCACAGGCTTCTCTCTCTGCCTTTTTCTAAGGTTACTTTGCCCAGGTCTGTGTTGTACCTTGTGCAGAGGCCTTGAATATCCAGCTCTGGTCTCACTCCACCCTCGTTGCTACTCCAGAGCTTCTCAGCCTCAGGACACCCTGTCCTACTGTACTGCTCGCCCACTTCACTCTGCCCTGATCACGAGTCTCACCACTCCCCACCATGGGCTATGCTCATCAGAGTTTCTGAGCTCCTAATCTTGGGTTTTCATGTGCACTGTCTGGAAATCTAGACAGCAAAAAGAACACCTGCTTTGGTGCCGTGCAGACCTTCATGTGCATTCTGGCTCTGACACTGATGACCCAGGTGTGACCTGTATAGCAAGTCACACTCTCTCTCTGATCCCCTAGTGAGAACAGTCTGTACTTGCAGATTTGTGCTATCATCGAAGACTCAAGGGCAGGGCTCCTCTGTGGTTGGTACTTAGGACATGATGCCCTTGACAGACCCAAGTGAGGATGAAATGGTCAAGAAACCCTCCAATTGTTTCATTACACAAAAGCAGTGGGTTAGGACCCCTTCAGCCCAGATGAGCCAGGCTTGACCAAGCCCAGCAGTCTCCAAGATTTAGCAATTATGGGGTCCCAGGGTCCCATGTCCCCCAATGTATACGTTTTTTAGCAATATAGGTGCTTACAGCTTAGTACTGCCCAGTGAGAAAACTGGAAAAATAAAGTGAGGACCAGGGAGCTAAGAACGCTGGATGGTTTCACATCCCTTAGGACAGGAAAGCTGGCCTCTGCAAAAGCAACCACAGACCATTTTCACATCTGCTCTCACCAGCCTGGCTGGAGTCAGGGCAGGTCAGTCACTCCTGTCACAGTTCAAGGGATTCCGTCCGTACCTGAGACACACAGCCTGTGAGCAAGAAGGCAGCTCCCTTCACCCCACGCCCTAAGTCCTCCAACCCCTGCCTTCGGATACAACGGACACACTGTGTAACTGATTTGTGTGACAGACACATTTGGTAATGAGCTTGCAGATACATGAAAGCAATTTTACAATCTTTGGGTCATTTTATTCACTTAGAATTTACTGAGAGGCTTGGGGCAAGAACTGATAAGTTCACCTCAGGCTTCTCTGTACAAAACCTCACAGGAAGTTCTGAGTCCCCTTCCACACCAGAACTCTAAGCACTAAGTTCTGCATTTGGTCCCCCACAGATACCATCTCAACACTGAAACCTGAAGTGGCACTGTGTGGGGCAAGTGCCAGAGGGAACACACACCTCGCCAGGGGCAGCTTTACAGGTCTTTCCAGTCCATTATTTTTTCCTTCATTCCTTATGAAAAGCCCTTAGACCACTTGAACTTCCCTTGACCTGAAGTGTTGACTGTTTCTTATTAAGCGCACATCTGCAGTGATATGATTAGGCTCTCAAGTGCAGTACAGATGCTTCTAATTCTTTGTCTAACCTCAGAGTTCCAAGGATCAAGGGGCATTCCACTCAGTTCCTTCCTGAGGTACAGAGTCACTTTCACTGCCCCATGTCAAGGAAAAGGGAGATGACCAGAAAGGCCAAATGAAAAAAGAAAACTCTGCAAATTATCTAGGCAGCGTCCTAATGTGTGATTCATTTGGGGACTTCTCAAATCCAGATCCTTGACCAAACACCTGTGTCCTCAAAAAGAAGGGAAAAAGAGGAGGGGAAGGGAGGAGAGGGAGAAGGGAGGAGGGGAGGAGAGGGAGAAGGGAGGAGGGGAGGAGAGGGAGAAGGGAGGAGGGAGAAAGGAAAAGGGGAGGAGGGGGAGGAGGGAAGGGGAGGAAGGGAGGAGGGGTGTAGCCTGCAGTCAGACGCAGTGATGCAAGCCTGTAATCCCAGCGCTCAGGAGACTGAGGCAGGTGGAAGGTGAGAACAAGGTGAGCCTGGGCTACCTAAC